AATAGTTCAAGATGATCTTGACTAAAGCGGTACATTGTCAAGAATTTAATTTTTTCTTCTTCTATTAAGTGATAAACCAGTTCTTTTGTGCTTGCCATACAAACTAATAAGCCAGTTTTCCTTCCACTTTTGATCAATGACTGTCCTTCGGAAGTTTTTAGTCCTTTAATATAGTTTTCAGCATCATTAAAAATAGATTAGATTAGTAAAATGCCGTATGATAAGATACTATGAAAGTAACTAAAATATACAGTCCTGGTAGTATCTATATCAGTAAGTTGTCTTATCTTTCTTATGGCATAAGCTGCTGAACTAACACCCGTATTCATAAACATTACTATGAGGTATCACAGGGTGCGTTAACGCACAGGGTCCGAAAAACCTATTCATAGACAATACTTGAGTGGCGACCGGCACTATGCGTCCCTTATAATGAACGCACAGCCAAGGTAGCCTGCTAGCTGTATTACGCAACGCATAGTGCAATATTTTTCTTTTCTTTTTTAAAATTTTAGGTTATTTGCGTTGACTGTTATTTGCTGTTCGAGGTTTTGTTTTTTCTTTGTTTGCGGCTGTATTCGAAAATTATGGCGTTCTTTTACAATGGATTACAGTAGTGAAGAAGAATTTGATATACACGGTGGCCGGGGAGTTGACGTTCAAAAGTAAAATTTAGATACTTTATGATGAGGAGTATCCAAATCACCCCCATGTTCTACGATTTTGCGTACTTTTCGAGTTATATTTTTTTTTAAAGTTTTTTCGTAATTTTCACCTAACATCGGTTTTCGATTTTTTTCTCATTCTGTTGGACTTTTCTGGTTCAGTTTTTTTGTAATAACTGACTAACATAGTCTAACCTAAAACTTATGGTTTATCTAGGCATTGCAGAATTCACTTAGAATTTGTTCGAAAGTTCAAAATTACGATTTGAGCTCAGTACACACAAATTTTCAAAGTATCAAAAAAATGAAAAGGGGGGATTTGGAGTTCAAAGTGCTTTTAGAAACTTTCTGAAACATTAAACTTTAAAACAAGGTCAAATAAAGATAGGGTTAATGGGGGTTTATTTTCTGTAATTGACCTTCAAAGTACGCAAAACCGTAGAACATACATGGGGGTGATTTGGATACTCCTCATCATAAAGTATCTAAATTTTACTTTTGAACGTAACTCCCCGGCCACCCTGTATATATCAATGAGTAAAACAGAATAAGTACCAGAAAAGTGATACGAGATTTCCAAAATCCTTTTGATTATTACAGTTCAGAAGAATTTAGATGACGCTACAATCTAATTAATTATAATTACCACGAAACACAAAATAGGTCTCAAGCACTGTTTGGTTTTAAAAAGGTTATGAATTATGACAATGAGGGCTACCGTTTTCTGTCTCACCAGATGGCGCCACTGTTGAGTGAGGTCCTAAATTGTAACTTTTAAAGTTTATTAATACGCACATGAAATCAAAGGTTACATTTAGTATTTTAACACAAAAGAACCATATCCTAAACATAATAGGCCATGCCACAGTGACGCCCAGTTCCGTTTTATTCGGAAAAAATGGGAACATAATCATTTTTCTAAGCTCAAATTTTTAATAACTGACATTCATTGCCACATAACTCATATTTGCCATAATTAAGCCGAATTGTTACCAATTATTCACAACATTATTTTAATAAGAAATAAACCCGCGTAGACAACCAACAAGCAATAACATTTGACATTTCGGAGACCTCACGCTACACTAGCGCCTCTAGCGGCGGATTCATACGCGATAGCCCTCATTGACAAATGATAGACATGTCATTCAGAGCGGTGTGAACTACGTAACATAAATGAACCAATCACAGAGCTCTGTTCAACGCTGTGCGTTCTCATAGCGAAGAGTCATTTGAGTATTGTTTATGAATTGAAAGGCTTGCCAAGTAAAACGCACTGAGAAATGTCTTACTTCGCACAGTGTTGCTACTTTACTTAAACAAGTATTGTTTGTGAATACGGGTGTAAGTTTACCAGCCAAAAGCGTAATGTGATGACTCCATTGCAGTTTTGAGTCTACCGTTATACCCAAGAATGTAGTCGAGTCTACTAAATCTAATTATTCATTATTTAATTTAATTTCAATATGCTCAACTTTTACATTAGGTAAGGAAAATTGAATACACTTGGTTTTATTAGCATTTAGCTTTAGATTATTGACATTAAACCATTGCAGAACTTGCGAGAGAGCATTATTCACATCGTCATAGTTGTTTTTGCGCCTGTCAACGTTAAATAATAAAGATGTGTCATCAGCAAATAATAAAATCTCACACAAGTTTTCCACAAAAAACGGCAAATCATTTACATATACTAGAAACAGGAAGGAACCTAAAATTGAACCCTGGGGAACGCCCATTTCCACATGAGATCCAGATGATCTAACACCATTTACCTCTACAGTTTGTAGAGGTAAATGGTGTTAGATCCTCTTCGATCTGCCCATCAGGGCTTGTTTTTAAATTTTTCATTTGTCTAAAATAAAGTTCCTAAGTTGTAACATTTATAACTTTTAATTCAGCTTGCTCCTCAGTGATGAGGACTTTCTTTTTTAAACATTCTATTATTGTCTCCATAATAATATATTTTTATGTTTACGACGATTCTGCTCTTGTAACCTTTTTATTTTTAACTTTCGATTTTTGATTATTTTATTTAATTTTGTCTTCTTTGGTGAATTTAGTAACGAAGGTTTCTCCAGTGTACGAGATGGTTGATTTATTTCCTGTAAATGGAAAGGAATAAAAAATTATAATAATACCGTATACTATATATACATTGCATGTGTATTGTATATTATGGGCCCTGCTCGTCCACTAACCTCTTCACTACTTGTGGTCTTCACTATCTGAATTGTCGGATACGCTTTTTCGAACAAGCGTCGTTTTTTCGTTGAAACATAGTCGTCCTCTTTAAAATGCATGGAACAAATCGTACTGTGTTTTGTAGGGAACCAGTCTTTATTGCCTGTTGCGTCAATCCATTTTTCTTTAGTATTAGAATCACGTGGAAATCTTAAATAAATAACTTAAATAAATTATCATTCTTCTGTCTCCAAAATCGACTACACGTATGAATCGATTGAATCGAATATACGATTATGCAAGTACAACACTATTTGTAAAATTCGACAGAGGAATGAGAATAGTGGATGGACCACGAATTAGTCGCGGTTGCGATTGTTTCGTTTGTATTGTTTTCATTGCGCATTAACTTAACAACTCCAATTATACTAGCAAAGACAGTCCGGCAATGGATAACGATATTGGATCCGTAACGAAGATATGTTTGGACGTAGTAGGATTCACTAAAAATAATAAAACATCGGGTTTAATTAAATTACAGCTCTAATAAATAACACAACTACTTACCGATGATACGAAACGTCTCCTCTCACTCTGCAAACTACTTTCGACGTATTTTTACAATTAACAACGGCCCAATTAGGCATTTTGATATTTTCAAAGACTACTTTCCGCTAACGCAGTCCAAAGCGCACTGAGCTCTGACTGGGCCTTATTTGAGCATTGCTCAAATTGCCGGCACGCATTGGCGACGGCATGCGTCATCTATACTATCTATGTCTGTGTATCGTATGCTGTCGCCGATTTTTTTTACAGAATTTATAAACGGGAAATATTCCTTCCTACATTATTTTTTCAGCACGAACAAACTAAATTTATATCTACAAGCTTTAAACTCAATTTAAACTATTTTCAACATAGCAATAGGGTATTTGACAAGTTTTAGAAAACGATCTCACCTTATTGACTAATGTTTATGGATTCCGTAAAAAGTGGATATTCATCATTCTGTTGTGTATTTCAGTAAAAATAACCAAATCAAAAACTCCATTTTCAAGTTGCCGCAAAAACGTTTTTCTGGACAATGTGGCGTGTTACTAGTGTGTGACGTCACACGACTGTTATTAAAACGTCAAACGATACAATGTAATGCCACTTTAACCGAAAGTTTACTTGCGTGTGACGTCATTTTAGGCTCCGCCAATCCCAAGCGTTTTGGGTCACGTGACAATAGATAAGAAAACTATTATCTTTTTCGTGGGTTTTTAGTAGAATTATGATATTTTTTATAAAAATAGTAAAAACCCCTGCCAATATTCATTCTAAACACAGATGCTAACAATTGGCACTTTATTTTTAATACTGTCAAATACCCTATTAAACTAGCTCCAAAGTAAACACGGGATACTAGGGTAACGGATAGAATACATATACTGATACATATACAGGGCGTCCCACGGCTACCTCACACGGAGGGAAAGTATATTAAATATTGAAGTTAGGATATTTTACTGAAAGAAGACATCATTTTATTTTTAATAATAACTAGAACTGCATTCACAGATTTTTTTAAAATCGCCTGCTACAATTGGGAATCAAACTCGTGACATTTCGAAAAAAAAATACAACATATTCTATGATAACCATCGAAAGGGTTAATCATAATTATTATTTTTTGCTCAATAACATAGCAGTTTAAGTATATTTATATAGAAAAACATATTAAACATCCAAGAATGGAGTACAAACGCACGTAGTCATCACACAAACATCTGCCCCCTCGAGTAGGCGACACTTTGAAAACCGGCGTACAAACCACTCGGCCACAGAGGTCGTCAAAGTGTTTATATACAGACTGATGAGGAGGTCGATGGTTAGCGCGTTCGGCTGTGATCGTTGAATTTAAGCAACTTTCGCAGTGGTTGGTCATTGGATGGGTGACCAAAAAATCTTCTATCTCGAGCTCCTCCGTGCTTCGGAAGGCACGTTAAGCCGTTGGTCCCGGCTGCATCTGCAATCGTTAGCACCCATCAATCCGCACTGGGCCCGCGTGGTGGGTCATGGCCCAATCTCCCTATTCCATCCATAGGGAAGGCCTGTACCCCAGCAGTGGGGACATTAACAGGCTGATGATGATGAATACAGACTTACCAGACTGCTCCTCTCCTCTTTCGTCGTCCTTCTCATCATCGAATATGTGAAACATGTCACAGTGCTCATCATCCTTGGTCTCCACGTCTTCGCAGAAGGTCACAGTCACCAGCTCGTCGGTGGGATAACTCTGCCGGGACACGTCACCGTCTCCCTCCTGTTTTGGATCCTGGAATTGAACACATACAGCTGGCATTCGGGTTTGAAATGAAATGAAATGAAGCCTTTATTGGCCATCTTTTATATAAGAAACAGAAAAAAATATCATCATCATCATCAGCCTATTAATGTCCCCACTGCTGGGGCACAGGCCTTCCCTATGGATGGAATAGGGAGATTGGGCCATGATCCACCACGCGGGCCCAGTGCGGATTGGTGGGTGCTAACGACTGCAGATGCAACCGGGACCAACGGCTTAACGTGCCTTCCGAAGCACGGAGGAGCTCGAGATAGTAAATTTTTTGGTCACCCATCCAATGACCGACCACTGCGAAAGTTGCTTAACTTCAACGATCGCAGCCAAACGCGCTAACCAGTTGCGCCATCGAGCTCCTCAAAAAAATATATAAAAAAGAAACAACCTAAGAACAAAAATTAATCACTAGATTTAAGACGGCCAATCAGGACCCTGTCTCAACTTATGCTGATTCAATGGGAAAATATTCTCTCACTGTATCAGCGTTGGTATTCCGGCAGGGCCTGTGCGAGGACGTGTTTCAACAACATACCTACATTTGCTTTATATTATTCTTTTTATAGTCGACTAGTGGGAGCACCGCGACTTCGCCTGCATCTGACTGTTTGAATCTGCATCCGGGGAAATAATGGTTTCTCAAATAAACTTCCATTCCTCTTTTCACCTCCTTAAAGGTTGATTTCTAGACTTAAAACAGACAAATCTCTATACCAAATTTCATTCAATTGATTCAGCCAACGATGTTTAATTCCCTAGATATACTAAAACGAACCAAATTATGATCAAAACCTGTCCAAAAGGTACATTGGACGATCCACGGAGCTCCGTAAGATGATCACTGGGTCAAGAATTATTTAAACATTGAAAGTCACCTTTAATGCATACTCTACAAGTTATATATTAAGTAAAAGGCATGCGTCAAAGAGTTATGACCGTTCGAAATGCAAATATGTAAAATTTTACGACTTATTGACCTTATTTCTTTGATACTTTGGTCCGGACCGCGAGGAAAAGAGATGACCGACCATGAATTTGAATATCACAAATGTTTTCTATTAAATCAGTTTATGATAAGTATATGAACAAAATTTGCTTAAAATGCGTTAATTAACTAACATTGATTAAATACCTGTCGAAAAAACGACACTTTACATACTATAAGTATTTTTTTCGCATTTTTTCATGGAAATCTGTGGCAACTTGACTTTTCAACGGTCCGCGCGTGACTGTGAACCAAGAAGTGCTTAAGTAGCGTTCAAGCGCTTCTTCATTGGGACACATTTTGAGCGCACGTGGTGTATCAAGGGTATTTCATATCGTTGGGTTCAGCGGGAAAGGCGTGAAGAGGTAACAGACACTTTTGCATTTATAATATTAGTATAGATGCGGCAGAAGTGCGTCACTCGCGCTTTTCGCCGAACTCCGTGCTCTGGAACATTAATCATGAGTAGTCTCCTGTAAGATGGAGATTGCTTCCGCAGATGAACGTTCCAATGTGAAAAGACACGCCGCCACGCCACGCCCTATTTCTTTTATGTGTTTCTTAAATGGAGATTTTGTTCTTCTATTTTACCCACTTTTAACTTTTAGTTTTCATGAAAAAAAGTTTATTATTTACACCTTCTACAAACTCTACTAGCTCTCTATCGTGGAAAAACAGGAATTGTTGTATGGGTCTATGAGGTAATTGATTAAAATTTCTTCAACGGCTTAGACAAGAGTTCCCCAAACTTTTTTGTGTCGTAGACCCCTTGCCATGTTTTTCCGTGTTGGGTAGACCCCCTACTTACCTGATATTGATTTTTTTTCGCTGACTTTGACCCATTGCAGGTTGTCATAGACCCCTAGGGGTCGATATAGAGCACTTTGGGAATCACTGGCTTAGACGAAGAAAAGTACCATACACTTTTTTTTTAATAATTTGACTCAGTAGAACTACCTCCTGCTACGCTGCTACTGTAATTCTTTTTCTCAAATTTCAGGATTGCAGTATTTGCCATTGTCATAGGCAACCTTTTTTGTGGATGAGTCAAAGTCCATCACATGAGATTGCAACTTATCGCTGTCGTTTTTGAATCCCAATTTACAAGAAGCCTAAGTTATTACATATTAGATGGTGCAAGTCAAAATTTACTTCAATTATGTTTTCCGTTGCTTCTTTCACCTCCTTTCTCATCTTCTCTAACTCGACTTCCATTAGCTCCTTCAGACACGATTCCGGCAGTTGCTCCAGGAATTGATAAGGGTCATCTGTAAGTGAATTGATAGAAAGGTTGGCATAAAAGTTTTTACTTGAGAACTGATTTAATTTTGAGCTTAATGATTTGGTCATCCTTCGAAATGTCAACCAAAGAAAATGAATTCCTTCATCAACAGCCTAGTAATGTCCTCACTGCAGGGAAACAGGCCTTCCCCGTAAGAAGAGTGGGCCGCGACTTACCACACGGGCCCAATGTGGATTGATGGGTGCTAAACACTGCAGACGCAGCCGGGACCAACGGTCAACGTGCCTTCGAGACAACAAGTTTTTAGTAACAAACCCAATGACGATCGTGGCCCGAATGCTCTAAACCACCTATGCCATCAAATTAATTAATCAAACATAATACTATAGGGGAATAATAATATAATAATTTGACGACCTCCGTGGCCGAGTGGTTTGTACGTCGGGTTTCATGGTGTCACCGACTCGAGAGGTCCCGGGTTCGAATCCCGGTGGGGGCAGATGTTTGTGTGATGAATACGAGCATTTGTACTCTAGTCATGGATGTTTAATATGTATTTCTATATAAATATACTTATATATGTACTGTATATGTATTCTATCCGTTACCCTAGCATCCCATAACACAAGCCTTACAGTGCTTACTTTGGGGCTAGGCTAATTGGTGTGAGTCTTGGAAATATTAATATTATATATTAATAATACTATTCTGCGTTCTATGGGGGAGGCCTATGTCCAGCAGTGGACGGAGAAAGGCGGATGGATGGACGGAATACTATAGGCGTATTTATTTTAAGACTAGAGTACCACAACGTAGGTAACCTACTGTATTACCAGCACGACTATTACAAAATCTGATAAGGTTTCATGACATATCAAAATACCTTTGAAAACGTTATTCAGAATGTCTTGCTCCTTGACGAATTCTTCCCAAATCTTTTGTTCCCGCTGTTTCAGCCGCTGCCGTCGGCTAGACTTCCATGTTCGCTCCAACTCTTCACCTTCGACATACTGAAATGAAACCAACAGGTAATATTATAATTAAGGACATTAAGCCAATGAAAAGATGAGATATATCGACGACTGTTTCGTGATTTTCTCCGTTAATTTATCTACATAATTTTAAATCCAAAAGCAGCCGCTCAAAGGCGGCGTAAGGCGTGGGCGACGTGGGCCACCGCCTACGGCCTCGCGGTACAAGGGGCCTAGCGCCTCAAAAAATTTTATGCATTGCTTAAAAGCGAATTTCTTTTTTTTTTATTACTTTATAAAATCAGTTTTCAGGTCGCCATAGAACAGGGCCTCGCGAAATCTGTCTTGCCCACATAAAATGTAGGTCTTGCCCCGCCACTGCAGCCGCTAGGCGCAATATTATTCTGAATTTCGTAAAACCTATTTGCAACGTTCGAATTATTTTGTTGCGAATCAAAATTAAATGTTAATAAGTTGTGAACATGATGAATCTATTAATCGTAATTAGATTCGAGTCTGGGTGTTTGTGGGTCTGTCGTTCTTTCTTGTTTTCCATAACACAAGTGCCTGTGCCAATCCCTTTGGTATCAATCCATAAGAACTTATGTAATGATATACTTATTTAGAAAATACACAACTTCATGAGGCAATTTATTTAAGAGTAAGATGTTTTTATTTACGTACCTGTAAGTTATCAACCTCCAGTTTACTTTCAGGCATGAAGGAGAATCCCCTCAAGCCACTGCTTACGACCGTTTTAGACATGATAGACACAAACACAAAACACAAATACGAAACGGTAAAAATAAATGAAAGTGACAAAATTTACGATTCTGGCATGACCGGCAAGAATGTTGACGCAGTCAAAACATTTGAAATTGACAAAATTCAAAAATTAGTGACGTCAAACGCTCACCCGAAGTTGGTAGTTATTGAGCTTTTGATGGTCGGCTCTGACCAATCGCACTCCAGGGGGCCAATCGCCTAACGGAAATGCTTTGGAAAACGCTAACGCTTACGATTTTATTTTGTTATTTCTAGCCGCCTGAGGTATTCAAATGCCTCGCGCTCTTTCTTTTTCTTTTGCATTGGTAATAACAATATTTAAAAAAATGATCGTGAGGTATTCGAAAACCTCAGGCGGCTAGAAATAACAATATAAAATCGAAAGCGTTAGCGTTTCCCAAAGCATTTCCGTTAGGCGATTGGCCCCCTGGATTCAGAAACGGCGAAAGATGATTGGTTAAACATAAACAATACAAACAGAAACACCTGTTGAAAACGGAACTTGTTACAAGTAACTACAATTTTTAACACAATGTAGATATACGTTCTGAAGAAGTTCCCGTTAAATACCTATCATTTCTTTTAATTCAAAATACATTGTAATTTTGAACAAAGATCGTTATTGTTGTAATTTGCTTGATTCAACGTGTTACGAGGTCAACAACCGACAGGCTGCTAGGCAACGAGAATGGTGTCAACAAAAGTCATTGAAACATGAAATATTTTTAGAGATAGGCGTTTTTGGATATTTGTGAAATCAATGCGCATCGATATCAGATAAATAGTATCCCATCCACATCGATGTCGGCATCGACGCAAAGTGAATGTCAGTCTAGCTAGTATACTAGTACGAGGATGCGATGCGATATGAATTAAGACAGATGCGTGTTTTGTGTGGGTGCGTCTCTTCGATTCATGAATCATGACTTGGAAATGTAATCAAAACTTTTTATTAATTTTCGGCATGGTGTCTGAAAATATTGAATGTTGACCTAAAAAGTTACACTCAGAGCGTCAGTTTTGAACGCAGTCCAGTGCCACAAACTTTTCTGTGCCGGGGGCCACAGACATATAATACTATAGCAGACGTAACATAAAACCTAGTTATATTTATGAATCAAAACATGATCTTTTATCCTTTTTACACTCAGCTACAACTCGATAGTGGCATCTCATTCTTCCATCTATTGCAACAATGACTCACACATCAACAAATGTCAACGCGTGTCATTTTTATTCCTCGCCGCCATTTTATTCATGACTTATCGGACATGCGACTTTTCGGTGTTTATTAAGAATATTGCTTTGATGAAACTGTATTACAAAACGAGATTATTCAATTACTATGGTCAAGTACAGTGCGTATCGATGTGAAAGTGCTACCTACAATAGAACACCAGGATTAACGTTTAATCAGTAAGTTTTTATGTGTCTTTGTTGTGTACAAATGTCTTTGAGTCTTTTCGAAGCTTATTTAAATATTATCGTAACATGTAACATTTTTTACGTAGGATTATTTATCTAAGATACTATCGGTCAAAACTAATATCCTAAAAGTAAAGAAATGGAAGTAATCAGGATAAATCATGATAGGAAATTCCAATTCTGACAACTGAAGTACTATTGCCTTAACAGAGGACGGACTCGGTATCAAAGACAAAAAGTTTCTCGGCGTTAATTTTGTTTGCATTACATTGTATTGAATGCAATTAAGAACGTATTGAATGTGAATGCAATCAAGAACGTAAATAGATAGGTACCTATTACTGACTAGCTATTCATATTTCTTGGAACATTGGCATCGGTAGGTATATAACCCAAATAACCACATAAACAATTTTGTTCTAGGTTTCCAAAGGATGAAAGTACTCGGAATGCATGGTTAAAATATATGAAACGTCAGGATTGGCAACCAAATACTTATAGTGTTTTAAGTGTTTTTTGTTTTAAAATAAACACAAGTAATGATTTTAATAGTTTGATTAAATGTGATTATGTCGATTATTCACTATTTGACTCGAACAATCCAGATCATGACATAAACCATGTCCACTTGTTTATTAAAGTTGTTGTCAAATTTTATTTTGATCTTAGATGTAAACATCAATGTAAAGAAACAAATGTATCTCAAAGAAATTTTCTAAAAAAACTTGTATTATTTCAAAATAAATAGATAAAAACTATGCCTTAAACTTTTATTTCAATTTTCCTAATTGTACCTATGTCCTTTCCCTGTGTTAATTTTATCTCCGTGCTAAATTTCATCATTATCGGTTCAGCGATTTCGCCTGGCTAAATTCGCAATGAAGATATTAAACAGACAGATTTTTACATTTATAATATTATTAGCATGGACATCACATTAGGACTTATCTATTCGGATAGGTATTTCATGAAATAACTACAATACTAAATGTGGCCCATGCTTTGGTGAGTTTCAATGTGTGTGTATTTGCCACGCTGTTTAAAACTGAATATTCCGTCTGCTACTAGTTATATGTCTGTGGCCGGGGGCAAATATTTACGGTTAAAGACATTTATTTTCTCAAAAGAATTTACAAAAAATTCACATACAGAGAAAATAGACAAAATACTTACAAAAGACATAATTAACAAAACAAAAAACAGTTATCCATAGCATTTTGACATTTTTATGACATATTTGTTCACCGCTAGCGACATCTAACGTTAACAAAAAGTAGATGGCATCGGCATCCAATAACGGTGGCCAGTCGCTTTGGATACGCGCATCTAAACCTGGCATCGTTATATTGTAGTGTTGACTACCTCTTAGAAGCTTATCGAAAAAGCCAAATCGATACATTTCGTGCCAAACACTCCAAGAAACATTAGAATGCGTCACACAGACATTCTAATGTAAAAAAAAGACATTAATAAAACTTAAGACTAGGCTGTATGGTATAGTATTTTACTAAAAAAGAAGAATCTTTAAAAAAAAATTTTTCAGAAAGGATAAATATATCAAAATAGCATAACCGTGGATGAAGGACTTCTAGCATGACAGTGGGTACAGAATTCGCCATTCCGTTGACACAATTGAAAATATTTTGAAGTTTGAATAAAGTCAAATTTGGATGCTAGAGTCACGGCTAGAATTTAGAGTTTTCAAGAATTCTGATTAGAAACCGTAGTTTTCTTTAAGTATATATAAAATAATAACAAACCTTGTTTAACGAATAATATTTCACTAGTACAGAACACAGTTAAGTTCTAAACTAATTCATAAAAGATCAAACAAACTGTACACCTCTGTTCCGTGAATACGCCACATTCCTATATTTACAATAATTATGAGGTACTCAGTGTCGTGACGGTAATTTGAACACAGTGGGTGATCGATAATTTCACTCAGATAAATTGTCCGATTGTGTACACTGGGCTGGGTATAGGTAATTAAGCGTACGGAATGTTGGATCATTACAACGTGTTGTTCGGAGCTCGGAGCAGTATGGGGGCACACCAGCTTCATACCTCGCGCCACTTCCCGCAGTGGAGCAGAACCGCCATCCTTACCATCGCCGGCATTGATGACGACGATGGGAAGGTAAGATATACCTATCTTTATATATATAATTCTTCTGTGAGTGTGTATGTCACTGAACTTCTCTTAAACGACTGGACCGATTTTGATGAAATTTTTTGTGTGTGTTCAAGGGGATCTGAGAATGGTTTAGATTCACAATTTTGTCCGCTGGACAACCCCTATTTTTTAGGGCGGTACGAAGTTCGCTGGGTCAGCTAGTCTAATATATAAAATTCTCGTGTCGCGGTGTTTGTGGTTAAACTCCTCCGAAACGGCTCGACCGATTTTCGTGAAATTTTATATGCATATTCAGTAGGTCTGACAATCGGACAACATCTATTTTTCATCCCCCTAAATGTTAAGGGTAATCCACCCCTAATTTTTTTTTCAATTTTAGTTTTTTTTTTATTTTTTTTATGATACATCATACAAAAATACACACAACCCTAAATTTTCACCATTCTACCACCGACCCCTATTTTTTTATGGCGGTACGAAGTTCGCTGGGACAGCTAGTTTAAAATATACTAGCAAACCTGTGAACCAAATGTTCAACAAAAAAAAGTATTTAATTAATTGAGAACTTCGGAGATTTTGTGTGGTTTCCTTTGAAATAGAAATCACGTGATTTCTCGAAAACCGGAAGTGCTACGTTACTTACATCCGATTTGTAGTGTTATCAGACTATTCTTAACTTATAACTTAAACATTCTCTATATCTATCTCTTACGGTTTGGCCGCTGAAACAGCACCACGGACGGACGGACGGACGGACTTGTCTAATAGATAAGAGATTCTCGTGTCGCGGTGTTTGTGGTTAAACTCCTCCGATACGGCTCGACCGATTTTCGTGATATGCATATTCAGTAGGTCTGAGAATCGGAAAACATCTATTTTTCATCCCCCTAAATGTTAAGGGTAATCCACCCCTATTTTTTTTTTCAATTTTTTTTTTATATTTTTTTTATGATACATCATACAAAAATACACACAACCCTAAATTTTCGCCCTTCTACCACCGACCCCTATTTTTTTATGGCGGTACGAAGTTCGCTGGGACAGCTAGTTTAGATATAGTATTTTTTATGTTAACCAGGCGGCAAACAAGCGTTTATGCCGCCTGATTTTAAGCGGCTATTAATGTCCCCACTGCTGGGGCACAGGCCTTCCCTATGGATGGAATAGGGAGATTGGGCCATGACCCACCACGCGGGCCCAGTGCGGATTGGTGGGTGCTAACGATTGCAGATGCAGCCGGGTCCAACGGCTTAACGTGCCTTCCGAAGCACGGAGGAGCTCGAGAAAAATTTTGGTCACCCATCCAATGACCGACCACTGCGAAAGGCGCTTAACTTCAACGATCGCAGCCGAACGCACGAACCACTTGCGCCATCGAGCTCCCCCTATCTTATAGACGGTTGTGATACCAAAAATA